TTCTCGACAGGCTGCAGATGATCACCCAGGAAGGGAATGCAGAATACCCAAAGCAAACCATCTCAGCTGGTCACTGCTTCTGTGCCAAGAAGGGAGGCCTGGCGAGGGGCCAGTCAGGGAGCAGCATGGCATCCCATGCCCATGACCCACATGAAGGTCCCTCTAGACTGTCAGTAAGATCCATTTTCTGAAAGAGCTATTTTTGTTCTGATTATAAAAGTAACATTGGCTCATTGGTGAAAACTTGGACTGTGTGAGAAGTCTACAGAAATAAATACCAATCATCTAGAATTCCATCCCCAAAAGTAACCACACAGACAAATGTTTCAATGTCATGTAAAATTGTATTAACACCGTCTTGTATAGCTACATAGCGTTCTGCTTTATAGAATCATCTGCTTAACCATCACTATTGGGCATTTCTCTTGTTTCCATCTTTGCATGATTATAATTCAGTGTTCAAGTTTATATTGCATAAATCTTTGCTCAGATTCTTATTTTTAAATTTTTTATCGTGAAATAACTTCAGACTTACAAAAATGTGACAAAAATAGTACAAAGAGTTCCCATGTACCCTTCAATCAGTCTCACCAAAGATAAACATTTTGTACACCCATAATACATATATAAAAACCTGTACGTTGGCAACACAATACCCTCAACTAAGGTATGAACCTTATTGACATCTCTCCAGCTGTCCCGTGAACATCCTCCTCTGTTCCAGGATCCCATGCTGTGTCCATTGCAATGTCCCCTTAGTCTCCTCCAGTTTGTGACAGTTCCTCAGTCTTCCTTTGTCTTTTATAACCTTGACCCTTTTTAAAAATTGAGGTGAAATTTCTGTAACATAGAATTAACCATTTTAAAGTGTACATTTAATGCATTCACAGTGTTTTGTAACCACCAGGTCCATCTAATTCCAAAATATTTTCGTCAGTCTTTGACCCTTTTGAAGATTGTAGGGCAGGTGTTCTGTAGACTGTCCTTCCAATTGTGTGTTTGACGTTTTTCTCAGGATTAGATTGCGGTCCGGCATTTGGGATGGGAGCACCACTGAAGCAGTGTGTCCTCGATGCATCGCATCAGCAGGCACATGGCTTCGTTACGTTTCATTATTGTGATGTTAACTTCCATCATTGGTTGAAGGTACCACCTTTACCCAATGTAGGAATTGTTTCTTCCCTACTATTAAGGTACTGTTTTTCCCTTTATAATTGATAAGTCTCTTATGAGGATATCCTTTTGAGATCAGATTTTTTTTGACTTAGAGTTTATTCAAAAGTCAAGAATCTTAAATCTCTGAGATGGTGTGGGAAGAAAAAGTGCTGGAGAAGAATTGGCCTGGGGTACCATCAGATCTCAGACTGTGCGTGCGCCTTGGTTTTTCTTTCTGCATAACAAAGGGTTGTACCAGTTATATAACGATCTTGTGTGGAAGAGAAAACCTAGAACCAGATACACAGAGATCTTTACTGAGTCATGTGAATGAGCAGTGCTCAAGCCTGGCAAACCCACAGCAAATTCCCTTGGCTTCCAAAGGAGATGGAGAATGCAGTGGCCCCACTGGAGGGTCCAAAGCCTCTGTGCAAGGTGTTGTGGGCGGAGAGCTGGCCTGGCCATGTCTTTACCTCCTCTGGGCATCTCCCCCACACAACACCCTTTCTGTGGCCTGGCGGCTGAGTTGCAGCCGACACCCAGAGGCAGGTGAGTGGGCAGCTTGGGAGAGGCTGCAGGGTGGATCTGCTGCATGAGCAGGCCTGAGCCCAGCCTTGTCTCCCCACGGCAGTCCTCTGTGCCCTCCGGCAGCCTACTGCATGTTGGCACTTGCTGTACAAGCACCTGCTTCTTCACCTTGCATGCTGTTTGTGTCCTGCACGCTCTCCTTAACCCCAGCGTCCTGCTGTGTTTGCAGCCCACATCTACCCTGGTGGGAGTGGCCAAAAATATTTAGGGAGCGGGTTTTTAGTGGCTTCAGAGGATGCATGGTCCCCCTTATGCCTCACCCTCTCAGCAGCCTGGCCCCTGCCCAGCATCTGTCATTGCACTTGTTGAAGGAAAGGAGGGAGGGCTGGGTGGTGGCTGGGGAACAGGCCAGTCTCTGGGCAGGCCCTGCTTGCTGTGCTCCTCCATGCCACTGTCCACCCACACCCCAGCAGTCCTCTGAGACACCTCTCCGGGCTGCCCTGGGCCACAAGAGACCCCATCTTATCCACACCCTGGACCCTGCCACTGCTGAGCTGGGGGTGTATGCATGAGCAGCACAGCCCAGCACCACGCCGACATTGATGCTCTTCATCCCCTTCTCCCTCCAGGGCATTGAACGCCTCCAACGAAAGAACCAGCCCAGGGAGCACACGGGTAACTGGAAGTCAGTAAAGGAGACCTTTGGTGGGGACTTCTCCCTGAACTGGTTCAACCCCTTCTCCAGACCGTGTCAGCCAGAGATCCCCAGTGACAAGGACTTGGTGCGGCAGGTTACGTCACTGTCAGACACTGAAACAACAGAGGATCCATCAGAGGAGACAAAGGAGGAGGACTGTGTGGAGGTGATAGATGAATAGATGCTGCTGTGGGGACAGAACCAAACGCTAGAAAGTGCTGCCAACCTTCATCCCAGAGTTTTGGCTAAAGGGGCTCATGGGCATGGTGCGCTCCTAGAACCTCCAACCCTTCCCTGGGCCACTCGCCTGGCCTTACCATTCCCTGTAACCCCCTCCTTCCTCTCTCCATGTTGGGCCAGGTTTGGGGCACACACACACACATACACACACCCTACCATGATCACACACACACACACACACACACACACACACACACACACCCTACTATAATCACTTCTTCACCCCATTTGAAGCCTGCGGTGTCTGTGACCACTGCTGAAGGTCGAGCAGCGTTCTGGTGTGCCTAAGCCCCATTCCAGTGGTTGCTGAAGCAGCATCTTCTGCATAAAGTCCAACAGAAGGGTTCTTATCCCTGTTTGGTATAAGAAATGGATTCCCCACCCACTCCCTGTACGGGCTTTTGTTCCTCTCTTTGGCCCATTTCCCCAGCATCTACTGGCATCAGGATTGGCAGGGGTGCAGGCACTCGACAGAGCATACCCTGCAAAACCTCAGTGTCAGGGCCCCCCTTCCAGCTCCAGACAAAAGGTCATGAGTCCTGGCCCCAAAGGGCCTGTGGCCCCAGTTCAGTGGAGAAGAAAGTCAGTGATTGGAGGTGGAGCCTCAGGACGCTGAGAAAGGAGAGCCAAGCAGCATCCTGGTTCTTGGACATCCTCCTTGGGCACTCTGAAGGGTGACGATCCTGCCAGAGACACTCTGTCTACAACTGATGGCCCACTAGGGTCCGGGGTTAATTGCTCAAAGGAGCCAGTGTTCACAGAGCCACCTCTGCCCTAACCCTTGCTCAGAGCTCTCCAAGTATGACCCACGAAGGGGTGATGGTGGGACTCTAACATCAGCAAAGCAACCAGTAAGACATCAGGCCTCCCACTCAGGCTGCAGGCCCACTTTCTCGGTCTTTATCAGCTTTAATATTTATTAATGATGACGTGAGGAGCCTGAGCCAACTGTAAAGGCCATTAACTTGCAATCTGGGCAGGAAATGGCACTCACCACTTTGGGTAAGAGCTGTTCTGACTGTAGGGGCCCCCTGTTTGTTGTCCTAACCCAGAAGCAGCCCTGGGCTGCCAGGATGGCGCATGGAATACCAAAGAGTTCACACCAGGGAGTAAGCAATGGCTGCCCCCTGGAGTCTTCTAGGGGGTGGCAGTTAGAATCAGGGAGGAGGATTTGCTGGTACCTGCTGATGTGGGTCTCTATGGTGAGTTCAAGCCTGAGGACAGGGGTGTCTGCAAAACCACACGGCCCTTGAGAAATGTCCTTGCATATTGGGCTTCAAAGACCTTTTTAGGGGATCCAGCTTTGCCTGAACCAGCCCCAAAGCCAATTCTGTTTTCAGATTGGTTGCTCTGGAAAGGAAGGCTGGGGTGAGGGGCATTTTACCTGCACAGAGGCAGACCCTGCCTTCCCTCATCACTGACCCTTGACCCCATCTCCATGGTAGACCTCAGCCATGTCAGTTACTGTTCTGGAAGGTGCTGGGCTGGTTCACAGCCAGGGTTATGTAGGTAAGAAACCTGTCCAACCCTGAGCCTTGTCCCTCCCACACCAGCAACACAGTGGTCTCTCTGTGGTGACTGTTCACAGCATAACATTCTGCTTAGCCTCACACTGAAACCATTGCAATTGATGTCGAAACCAGATGAGATCTTACAGGAAGGGAGATTGGGTGCAGTTTGCCTCCTCCTCTGAATAAAAAGCTGTTTGCTCATCCTCAGTGACTGGAGTCTTCTGTTTTAATTAAGAGATCCCAGTCCAAACCCTTAGCCAGTGTCCTTCCTCCTGGGTCGTCTAAAGGCACCTCTAGAAAGCCACTTTTCTTCCATTCCCGGTGAGGGAGACAAGCGCGTGTTACACGGCAGCACACTGGCTGTGCTGGACTTCACCACCTCTTGGAATCAGACTGTGCTGTGGAGTGATGACTGACCAAACAGTTCTCTATGCCACCACCCTTATAGTATTACCAGCAGAAGGAACAATCACCTTTCCTTCAGTAAACTTTATTGAACAACTACTGTATGCCAGGAAGGTGGGCAACTAGGGCAAGGGTTACCAGGATTGAGGTTTTTTTTTCACTTGGACAGCTAGAAAAACAGAGTATGACAGGTTTCCCACCCCTGACTTGAATTAGACACAAAATAACCCTAATTCAAGCTACACACGTGCCTCTGCCAGGGTGTATATCCAGTTGGAGTGACAGCCCTTGAGAGAGGGGCTGAATGTACTGAACAGACCTGCCAACTCCTCAGACAGAGCCCCTTACCTGGGGAAGTCACAGGATGCGATGGCTCCCCTAGTGACCGCATAACCCCCAGCACAGGATTCTTTAAGAAGCTTATTGGCATAAAGAAAAAAGGATTCAGGGACCACAGTGTTCTCTTGAAGTAATCAAAGTTTAATTGAAAGCACATTGATCATTTGAACAAATCGCTGGAGGGCAGAACAAGGAGGAGCAGGCTTCAGTTAACAGAAGCAGCCCTGGGCTGCCAGGATGGTGGATGGAACACCAGGGAGTTCACACCAGGGAGGAAACAATGCCCACACCTGGAGTCTCCTAGGGGGCGACAGTTGGAATAAGGGAAGAGGCTTTGCTGGTCACCATTTGCTGACCTGGGTGTCTATGGTGAGTTCAGGCCTGAGGACAAAGGTGTTTCTGGGTTGTCTGCAAAACCATGTGGCCTTGAGAAATGTCCTTGCACATTAGGTGTCAAACTGCTTGGAGCACCAGGAGAGGGATTCCCTGGATTTCAGGCATAAAGGAGAATGGAGGCAACAGAAAGGAGGAGAATGCGCTTCTAGCAGGCCCAGCCCAGTGCTGGGACAGTACTCCAGTTGGCAGGTGCCTTCAGGGCTAGCAAACCCATGGCCTGAAGATATGGCGGCTTCTCGAGGGGCACCAACGGGTGGCAGCGCTAGGCTGCCCACAGCCTGCTGCTCCGGGGAGAGAATCTGTAGCTTTGAAGTCTATGGATTTGAATTGATAGAACAGTGGCCCTGATTTTTGAGGCCATAACTCAGGAAAGGGATGGGATTCTGTGGCCTAGGCTGGGTGTTTCTAGCTATAAAAGAGGTGACCTGGCCTTGTGGGTCTGGCTGCTTATGGTTGTGTTGGCCTTATCTTTGACCTACTGGCTCTTGAATCTGTCCTCATATAAGTCATCAAATTTAATCATCCATAATCTGAAAGCTAAGCACAAGTAGGAAATGCTGAAATGCTCAACTAAGGCTCCACAGCATCAGAGAAGGCTACTTGGTGATGAGAACAATCTTCTGAGCATTAATCTCTTTCACTTGTTTGGAACTAAACTTGACGATGAATTTTTTGGGTCCAGTTTTCATCGGGGTGCGTTTTATTTGGTATTCGATGGTCTCACCAGGCTGCACCGTCCTGGAAAATTCAAAGACACAGACATACAATCAATCAAGGATGTTATGGGAAGAGGGAGAAGATGAGTTGGATGAGAAGCCAGGAAGCTGAGCCTTAGCTCAGTCTCTTTGCAAAGTCCTGGCCATTCCAGGGCATGGCACAGTGGACCTACACCCTGGGTGCTAACCGTCAGTTTTATGAGCTGTAAAGCAAGAAGGTTGAAACAGCTGCTTTCCAGCAGCTCTTCCAACTCTGACATTTCACAAATCTTCCCTAGAGTCTTGCCCGGCTTTACTACAGATGTTCTTGTTTCATGGGTATTAGCAACAGTTATCTAAATTACATGAAATCTAAGAGGAACATGTATTTTACGATGAATCCCCATGAAAGGAATTGTTCAGCCCCTCACTACCCAAAGTGTGTTCTGGGGCCCAGCAATGCTAGCATCACCCAGGAGCCTGTAGGAAACACAGTATCTAAGGCTCCACCCTAGACCTGCTGAATCAGAATCTACACTGCAACAATACTCCGCAGATAACTTGTGTGCACGTTAAAATGTGAGAAACCCTGGTCTAAGGAAAATAGGGGTCTACTGGTTTTTACTTGGAAGATTCAGACATCCTCAGACCATCACACCTCCCAGAAACAAAACATTCAAGTTCAGTAAAGTTTTTTTTGCTGGATGTTTCAGCATGCCAAAGATCAATTTCCATATAGTCCAGCAAACAATTAGAACCTATGAAAAATACTCTCTTCATAAAAGCTATAATATTGATGCATCTTGGAATTAATCTAACTAAGAACGTGCAAGTTATATATAAAGAAAACAATATGGCTTTTCTAAAGGTGATAAAGACTTGAAAAAAACAGGAAATCTCATATTCCTAGATGGTAAAACTCAACACTTGATCTTAACCAGAAAGCTAGGAAGTGATCCTAAATGGTAAGACTCAATATTGCATTTGGCACAGTTCTCCCCCAAATAAATTGTTAAATTCAGCGCAGTATCAGTCTAAATCCCTGCTTTCAAATTATGTGAGAAGATGATTCTAAAAGTTTTATAGACAAAAATGGGGGAATGGGATTTGCCTAATACATATCAATATGTAGATATGATAATCGTATAAAATTATTATAGAACTGCAGTAATTTAAGTGGCACAATGTTGTGTTAGAAGAAGACAAATGAAATAGCAATTGAAGAGTCCAGAGACCTGATATATGTGGAAATTGACAGCATAACAAAGGCCGTGCTTCATACTAGGAAAACCATAGACAAAGTTGGAACTCCACACCACTCCACACCCAAAACAAATTCCAGGTAAATCCTTAATTGTGTAAAGCTGGAAATTCTAGAAAAAGCGTAAGAGAATATATCTATGCTCCTAGAATGACATGAAATTCAGTGTCATAAAGGAAAAGATTGAAAAATTTGGCTACATTAAAATTTAAAAGTTCTAATGGTGAAAGACATCTTAGTGTTAAAAAAATACAAACTGTTTGCCCAGTCATGGTGGCTCATGCCCGCAATCCCGGCACTTTGGGAGGCCGAAGTGGGCAGATCACCTGAGGTCAGGAGTTTGAGACCAGGCTGGCCTACATGGGGAAACCCCACCTCTACTAAAAACATAAAAATTAGCCAGGTGCGGTGGCACATGCCTGTAATCAAGGCTCCTTGAGAGGTCAAGGCAGGAGAATCTGGAAGATGGATGGAGATTGCAGGGAGCCAAGATCATGTCACTGCACTCCAGCCTGTGTGACAAAGTGAGATTCCATTTCAAAATAAATTTAAATTTAAAAAATTTTAGCCGGGTGCGGTGGCTCACGCTTATAATCCCAGCACTTTGGGAAGCCGAGGCAGGTGGATCAAGAGATCAAGACCATCCTGGTCAACAAGGTGAAACCCCATCTCTACTAAAAATACAAAAATTAGCTGGGTATGGTGGTGCACGCCTGTAGTCCCAGCTACTCCGGAGGCTGAGGCAGGAGAATTGCTTGAACCCAGAAGGCGGAGGTTGCGGTGAGCCAAGATCTCGCCATTGCACTCCAGTCTGGGTAACAAGAGCAAAACTCCGTCTCAAAAAAAAAAAAAACACTTTAAAATACAAACTGTTATAAATAATTCACAGCACATAATACTCTTTACTGTGTAAAGACACCATAGTAATAGGCAAAATTAAATGACTTGGTAGAAAAATGGACAATTTTTCAATTAATGTAAGAAATATTCAGCCTCACAAATAGAGATGCAAAGTAAAGCAATGAGATTACTTAACCACTAGATTGGCAAGAATCAAGATCTGTTGGTAGAGCATAAATTGATTCAATCTTTTCTGAAAGTCATTTGGCACCAGCAAAATGTGTCTACATTTTGACCCTATGACCCCATACTGGGAATTCACAACTCAGGAATATGCACATGTATGCAAGATGTATGTCCAAAAGTGTATTTCTGTTTGTAAGAATACCTCAGGCAGACTCACCCATGGTCAGAGGTCTGTGGTGAGGAGATGCCCAGGCTTTCCAAAGAGAACTTGACGTCAGTCAAAGGGATGGCCAGGATATTCCTGAAGACACAGTTGCAGACGAGTAGCTGGCCAATTCTGCCTGTGTTAGGCAACTGTAGTAGGGTAGGAAGGAGAGATGGGGAGAAAAGATATGCATGAACCAACCAGGGACTCTTAGGGTTCTTAGGGGCCCCATCCCACTCCATGGCCAACTTCCAGGCAAGAGGAGCCCTTGATGGCCTGCAGGAAGCTCACCTCTATAGAGAACTCAGGGTACTGGAAAGACAGGAATACTTCGGAGGCCATGATTTCCTTAGACTCCACAATTTCCGCAATGAAGAAACCTCTGATAACTGGCTCATCATCGAATATAGCCAGGCTGTTGATGTAGGTCTTGGAGTCCAAGGTCAGAGTCACTTCTGATACTGCCAAAGAGCCAGGGTGGAGGAGAGAGGTCATTCATCATAGCCCCCCAATATGAGGTTTCCTTATCAAGCACACAATTAGATTAACTTTGTATGAATTGAACTGGTTAACCTTGGACATGTCCCATAGTCTCTTTAGAAAACAAGACTTTGGGCTCAAGATGGAACAATAATTGGCCATGTTCTCCAGGCTTCCATCCTGAGTTCATGACAGACATTACCTGTTGTCATCAGGACATCCCACTTGTTCTCAACACTGTGCCCTGGGCACTGATAACCATTGATTTGACCGGGCATTTGAGAAAAAACTTCTGCCACCATAGAAAACTTCTCATGACACTTCCATCACCCCTAATTTCTAACCCTATGATAGACCCAGGCTCCTAGTCCAGTGGCCTCTTTGGCCCATGTTTCCTCTGTGGCTTTCCTGTGACTGTCAAAAGTAGGTACTCAATAAATGTGTGTTTGTGTTTACTCACACACAAAAGTTTGTTAATGTATGGAAGTCATCCACAGAGGAGACAGGGATTCCAGATTGTGGGAACCCTGAGCTCATTTGAGGGCTCTCCTGCCCCCGGTTCTGGTACCTTGACCTTGGATCTGCGAGGTCTTCTTGAGGGTACACAGTTTTGCCACCCTCTTGCCAGTGTACAACTGTAGTTCGAAGGAGCCCGAGATGTTGACATTCTGTAGGGCAGCAGTCTTCCTTTCGAGAATCACAGGGAAATTAACAGGGTTTCCCAGCAGCACATCTTCTGACTGTACCGACATGTGAAGAAAGTTCTCTTTTACAGGTCGTCTGTGCTCCCTCTCAGAACTGAGAAGTCGGAAGGCATGATCCATGACCTGCCTCTCCTCAGGGGAGCCTGAAAGAGACACAAAGGGAGCTTCCTTCAGATGCTCCTCCAAGGGCCAAATGTCCCAGCCACCACTGTGGCAGAAGGAGCCCGTCTGCATGGCCAGGACTGCAGAGACATCCCAGGAACCCAGGAGCTATAGAGTCACACAGAGGAGCATTCAGATTCCCATTCCTAAGTAAAAGCACATTCTGACGTCAGTGGAAATGGCAGAATAAAGACCTCCAAAAATGTGCTTCTCCATAAAAGCAGTGAGAACACTGGCAAACACTATCAAATCAGCCTGGCTCGGTGGCTCACACCTGTAATCCCAGAACTTTGGAATGCTGAGGCAGGGCGGATCATGAGGTCAAGAGTTCAAGACCAGCCTGGCCAACATAGTGAAACCCCATCTCTACTAAAAATACAAAAAATCATCTGGGCATGGTGACGGGCACCTATAATCCCAGCCAGTCAAGAGGCTGAGGCAGGAGAATCGCTTGTACTGGGAGGTGGAGGTTGCAGTGAGCCAAGATCACACCATTGCACTCCAGCCTCAGTGACAGTGCAAGACTCTGACTCCAAAAAAAAAAAAAAAAATTATCAAATCAACTTTTTCAGAACTCTTGAAATTAATTAAAGGCTTATAATAATCTAAGAAGCATTTATTCAAGAAAAACAGCACAATCTCAATAAGAGACTGTGGCATTCTGATTCCCATCTCCCCTTCTTTCTAGCTCCACAGTAGCCTCGAAAACCAGCAGCACCAAATCAGAGCCACTTCTGGAGGGGACAGAATGGTTTTAAAATTCCCTAAAAGCCCCACTATCAGAGAATTGTTGTTACTTGACTTGACTGTGATTCCCTGGAAACCCTCATTCACAGTTTGTCCTCATTGACCTGACTCAGAGCTCCCTCATTACCAGCAGCCTTTTTCCTGGAGCATTTGTTAAGGCAAACAAAGCAAACGACCTGCAGCAATTGTTACAACTGCAGTTTCCCAAGGCAACGTTAACAGTTGAGGGGAAAAGAGGCTGATCAAAAACTTTTTTTTGTTTGAGATGGAACTCTGTCTCCCAGGCTGGAGTGCAATGGCGCAATCTCGGCTCCCTGCAACCTCGGCTCCCTGCAACCTCCACTTCCTGGGTTCAAGCAATTCTCCTGCCTCAGCCTCCTGAGTAGCTAGAATTACAGGTGCCAGCCACCACGCCCAGCTAATTTTTGTATTTTTTAATAGAGATGGGTTTTCGCCATGTTGGCCAGGTGGTCTCAAACTCCTGACCTCAGGTGATCCACCCGCCTTGGCTTCCCAAAGTGCTGGGATTATAGGCATGAGCCGGCATGCCCGGTGCAAAAATCTTAAAAGGAAAATCTGAGGAGCAAAATGTCTCTGGGGCTTTGAAAAGCTCAGATTCCTGAAAATGTAGGGTCTGAGAAAGATCTGATAAGGCTCTAAGCTCTTACCTCTAACTGACCCTGAGGCTCTGCACAAGAAAGAAGCGAAGGTCGAGCTGTAAATTGCCTGTCGGAGCCCTGAATGTGTACCCCAGCTTGCACACACAGTCCCTTGCCAGGGATCTTACCGATTCAAGGAATTTAAGACGGTGTCTGTCCAATCATTAGCTGACCACTCAGCAAACAGCAGAGAATTCAGTGGTTGTGCACAAGAAAAATTACAGACTTTCTGGAATTATGTCAGGGAAGTCATTAAACAAACAGCAACAACAAACCTGGGGTGGGGGATGGGACCGTTTTCCAGAGCTACCGTGTTATCTTCTTTAACACGCCCAATTATCAACAAAAACGTTTCAAGACACACGAACAAACTACAGGCCATACGTGCAGTGGGGGAGGCGGCTTGCGGGGGACAGAGAAACGGTCAATAGAAACTGTCCCTAAGGAAGCCCAGAAACCGAACCTACTAGACAGAGACTTTAAATTAGCTATTTAAAATATATTCAAAGAACTAAAGGAAGGTGTGAGAACCCATGGCTTGCCAAACAGAGAATAACAAGAGAGAGATTAAAATTATTTTTTAAAAAGCACCAAATATAAATTCTGGAGTTGAAAAGTACAATAATAGCAGATTAGAGCTTGCAGAAAAATCAGCAAACTTGAAGACAGCTCAATTAAGATTATCCAGTCTGAGAAACAGAAAGGAAAAAGAATGAGGAAAAATGAACAGAGCCTCAGAGACCTGAGGGACACCAAGTGTGGCAGTTGTCAGATACCACTGGCCTCCCTCTCTGTCCTATCCTTTCCTCCCTGATACTTCTGTTACTCTGCCAAAAAAAAAAAAAAAATTCTTCCTGACCTAACTGCTTTTAATCGAGTTTGCTCATTTTCAAGACAACCTTGGGGATAAGATTTTATTTCAGAGATGGCAGCTATAGGACAGGAATTTCTGAGCTTGGTTACAGAGCTCTCCATCCACATCCACTCTGAACCCGAACAGACTTCAGAGTGGAGAGATACAGTTTGTCCTGATCTGCCTTTTAGCCACTACTTGACTCATTTATATGGAAGAAAGATTTCCTGCAGGCCTACTTTGTGCGAGATTCTACACAAGCTCACAATCAGCCCAGGGGTCCAAACTGACCTCTTGTCACTACTCTGCAGTGGAGGGTGGGAAAAGCCCCAGCCTCATGAATACGATCTGCCATCCCCCAGCACATGGAATTGCTCCCTAATCCATGAGCCCTACTTCCTGCCTTCCTCTTACCACATCCCATCCTCAGCTTGCCCCTGTCTAGACTCTTGCACCCTTTGAGGATGCTGTATGGAGTTGTCTTCCTTTCATTAGCACTTGGCACAAGAGCCACAGCCACAGGGAAATGGGCCACAGGGGAAAACCAATTCTGTCAGACTGAGGAACATCAAGAACAGAGGCAGCACATGAGCAATGGGGGCCTGTGGATAGTAGAGACTGCAAAGGAAGACAGTTCAGGTGGGGAAAGCATAAGTAGAGGTCTGGCCAGCAGTGAAAGCAGCTAGCTATTCCAGGAAACAGCTGGTAGCCTAGCTAGGGAATGAACTTAAACTCAGGAAGGGAGCTAGAGGCCGGCTCTGCAGGGCGAAGAAGGCCAGGCTGACAAGACACCTAATTTGCTGGGCACTGCGGAGCATGGACCGTCTCAGCAAGGTGAATGAGCTCCTCAAACGATGCAAAGGCCTCAATTAGGATTTGTTTTTCCTTTTCCTTTTTTTTTTTTGAGACGGAGTTTCGCTCTTGTTACCCAGGCTGGAGTGCAATGGCGCGATCTCGGCTCACCACAACCTCCGCTTCCTGGGTTCAGGCAATTCTCCTGCCTCAGCCTCCTGAGAAGCTGGGACTACAGGCACGTGCCACCATGCCCAGCTAATTTTTTGTATTTTTAGTAGAGACGGGGTTTCGCCATGTTGACCAGGATGGTCTCGATCTCTTGACCTTGTGATCCACCCGCCTCGGCCTCCCAAAGTGCTGGGATTACAGGCGTGAGCCACTGCGCCCGGCCCTTGTTTTTCCTTTTCTTGAGACAGGGTCTTGCTCTGTCACCCAGGCTGGAGTACAGTGGTGTGGTCACAGCTCACTGCAACCTCAACCTCCCTGGCTCAAGCAGTCCTCCCACCTTAGCCTCCTGAGTAGCTGGGACCACAGGCACATGCCACAACACCCAGCTAATTTTTGTTTTGTTTTGTTTTGGTAGGGACGGGGTTTCACCATGCTGCTCAGGCCTACCCCCGATCTTGACTATTTTCATGGTCTGGGTGACTCAGGGGCTGGCTTAGAAGGAGTGCTGTGATACTGGCCACCTTCTGGGTACTTGTACTCGTAGGTGATATCTCTCCGCTTGTCTTGGCCCACTGCCTTGGTGCTGATGTTTTTCCCGATGCTTGCGGTCTCCACTGATATTAAGTGTAACGATTCCTGCCCATTCACCGTCTTCACCAACCAGATGAGCCTGTCACCATTCACTTCTTAGAAGACGAATCTGGTGTCATAGACGATAAAGATGTCACCTTTGCGGATGGCAGCCAGTGGCGATGGCCCACAGCAGAAGACACCTGAGGGGAAGCCAAGGGTGGTGACTCTCACTGGGATTCCCCAGCTCACCTAGCCTGGACCCAGTGGCAGCAATGAATCTCAAATTCAAACAGGACTGGAAAGCAAGCTTTGCCCAAGAAGCACCTGGGTGCTCATTTCCTAGGCCATCCTTAACTACCCTGTAAAGAGGGACACATCTCAGCTTTGACTTGAAGAGTGTCAGGAACCCTCCATCCCAGTAGTAGGAAGTCACACTGCCTATTAAACTCATCCCAGCACATGAGTTCCCAGTAGAGCACAGAGGGGTCTGATTCCTGGTATCGCGCCTTGGAGCTATGTGACCTTGTGCAAGTCACTTCAGCTCTCTGTGGCTCCATTTCCTAGAAAACTGGGGATAAAAACAGCACTTACCTCCTAAGGCTATTGCAAAGATTAAATGAAACAATCCAGGCAAGGTACTTAGCACTGTGCCTAAAACAAATGCACGCTGTTGCTATGGATCTGCGCTAATAAGAACATTTCCATTCTAAGAGCTCTCTTTTGAATTTCTAGCCTGTGGATAGAGAGGTCTCCTTATTAGTCATTGACAACAGGGTAAAAATCAGTCCTCTGCCTCTCAGGCAGATAGTGGCACTGGGCTATTCACTGCCTGGTTGCCATGGCTACCGTCCCACCTCAGCAAATGCTACTTGGACTCCCTGGATGGAAAAAGCCCTCAACATCGCCCTGCTGAGAATCCTCCTGCAGAGTGTAGGGGAGTGCAGGTGTGTCACCTGCTCCTCCCACCTCTGGAGGCCACCTCCCACCACCCTCACCCCCTATTATAAAGGCAATGCCTGATCTCTGGAGAAACGTGAAAGCTGTTTTCACTTTTAACAGCACTTTTTTGCCTTCAGGGCCATGTGAACTCACACTGCAGCTGGAGGAATCAGGAGTCCCACACTGAGGGATGTGGGGTCTGAGGAGTATGTTTAAGTTTTAACCTGAATGCCTTTGGGGAGCTGTATGCTCATGTCTCTGGGTTGCCACCTTCCCAATCAGACAGCCCTGTTCACTCTCTGGCCCTGTGGGCAGGTGAATTGGCTATTCCTGGGACGAGGTTTACAGACAAACTGAGACTCGTTCCTGGAAGAACCTTGAGAGACAGCTACTTCAGGGTCTGGAGTGAGGCACCGGCTTCAGGGAGCCAGGGGCAGGCTGCTCCTTGGAACACTTCAGCTGGAGCAGTTCTGCTGTACATTATGAGGTGTTACATTAAGTTTCTTTCTGAAGGGTCAGACTGCTTTTTTTAAAGAAACAAAAAAGTTTGAGGCTGGGTGGTGGCTCATGCCTGTAATTCCAGCACTTTGTGAGGCCAAGGCAGGTGGATCACCAGAAGTCAGGAGGTCAAGACCAGCCTGGCCAACATGGTGAAACCCTGTCTCTACTAAAAATACAAAAAATTATCCAGACGTAGTGGCAGGAGCCTTCAATCCCAGCTACTCGGGAGGCTGAGACAGGAGAATCCTGAACTTGAACCCAGGAGGCAAAGGCTGCAGTGAGCCAAGACAGCACCATTACACTCCAGCCTGGGCAACAAGGGTGAAACTCCACCTCAAAAAAATAAAAAATAAAGGCCAGGCACAGTGGCTCATGCCTGTAATCCCAACACTTTAGGAGGCCATGGCAGGTGTATCACCTGCAGTCAGGAGTTCAAGACCAGCCTGACCAATATAGTGAAACCCCATCTCTACTAAAAATACAAAAATTAGCCAGGCATGGTGGTGTGCACCTGTAGTCCCAGCTACTTAGGAGGCTGAGATAGAAGAATTGCTTGAACCTGGGAGGTTGTAGTGACCCGATATTACACCACTATACTCCAGCCTGGGCGACAGAGCAAGACTCTGTGTCAAAATGAGTAAATAAATACAAAATTTTTAAAAGTTTGAGAACTATTGAGCTAATCTATTTTCCCTTTACTGGGCTGATTTTGTCTTCATTACTAGGACTTGCAAATTAAAATGAAAATAACTTGATTCCATAGATTTTCCAAGTAACCTCAGACCAACCCCTTGCCTCTGGTTCTCCAGCTGTACAAAGACAGCCCCTAAGGTCCTTCCAGCTACGAGGAGCCGCTGTCTTACCCGGGGGGTTAGTAACCCATAAGCAACTGAGAGAAGCATCCCTGTTATGTCTGAGTTGGGCTGAATCCTGGTCCAGCCTCATGGATCTGTGTGACCTCAGGCAACTCACTTCACCTCCGTGAGCCTCAGTTTCTTCATTCGTGAAATGAGGATAATGACAACCTATTTTGAAAGGTCAGTTGTGAGTGAACGAATCATGTAGGTACTGTGCATGCCATGCAATAGGGAACCCTTAAGTGCCACCATCTCCTTGCTGTTAATAGTACTGTCATTGGCATTATCTTCATAAAAATAGCCAGCAAACTAAAGCCCCTGCTCAGGGGGAGTAGCAGGAAGGACTGAGCATGCTTTTTGTTTTGGGAAATTTTTATTAAAACTTTCTCCACCTGCTTGGCTGCATACCCAAGGCCCACAGAACCCTGGGCCAGGTCAGGAGAGCAGCACAGATGCCCAGCGCCTTCCTGCCACCCACTCACCCTGGCTGCGCTCCTGAGGCGTGCCGTCCACAACCTGCCAGCTGTTGTAACCCTTGGGCAGATCTGGTTGCTTCATCCAGGCATCCGTCCACATGTGGAAATTTCTGCTGCAAAATGGGAGCAGGCCCCACCCCAGACCACCCCCAAACCTAGTTAGAGATAAACCTATGAAAATTGCCAGAGACGTCTTCATCACCGGGGACCCACTGAGGTTGTTCTCAGGGGCTAGAGAACATTTGTCAACACTGGTAAGGAAGGGGCCACTGCTGAGTCCCACCTGCCTCTTAGAAAGCCTCCCAAGGCACAGAAGTGGGTGCAGTGGGCAGGGCCAGGGGAACCTCATGAGAACCTCACCCTGCCTATAGGTCTCAAAGAGCCTGGGAGTCTTCACCCCTAGACGTGGTGAACTCAAGGCAGAACTAAATCTTATTTGTCTTGACATCTGCAGTGTTTGAAGCATAACAGCCACCTAATAAATTTTTGCTGAATGCGTGAGTGAAGTAACAGTTGGAATCTTTCACTAGGCTGTGACTGCACACCAGTAAAAGATTGCAACTATTATTTCATTCGCTCAATGAATGTATTCAGTCCGCTGGGATTCTGATGTGGTTGATCAGCAACTCTGTAATTGGTCAGTCTCTGAACTCTCATATTAAATCTTGCTGTTTTTAAGCTGGTGCTCTTGATTTTCTAGGTAGACAATGAACGGTTGTCCCTCGGTATCCACAAGGGATTCGTTCCAGGACCCCTGAGTATACCCAAATCCATACACAGTCACATCCTGCGGTCGGCCCTGTGGAACGTGCATGCAGGAAAAGTCCGGTCTCAGTATAGGCAGGCTTCACCTCCCACAAATACACCTGTACTTGGTTGGAAAAAATCTGCATATGAGTGAACTGCACAGTTCAAACCCATGCTGTTGAAGGGTCAGCTGTATATCGACTACAAATAATACTGGGCAGTGCCTCCTTTCCAAAAGTTTCAAGGCGTTCTGTTTTTTCTTGTCTTGGTACATGAACTAGAATGTCTCGGCAGTATTTAAATAAAAGCTGTGAGGCTCCAACTTCAACTGAAATGCCTCAGGAATTTATCATCAGGCCCTGACCTTCCGCCTCATCCACTCCCTCTGCAACTTCTCATTCTCCCTTTTCTATCTTGTGGTCACTTTTCAAGGGCCCCCTGTGCTCTGCATCAGAGAACAAAGTAAATAAGCTTCATTCTGCCCAGTGGGTACCCGTTACATCAAATGTTTTCAAACAGCGGTATATACCCAGTCTCCCGGGCCAAGTGCTGATATGAACTTCAGACTCCTGGCCCTTCCCCTGTAGAGGTAAAGGCTCCAGTATAGGAATCCCTTTTTTTTTTTTTTTTTTTTTTTTTTTTTGACAGGGATCTCGCTCTGTCATCAGGCTGGAGTGCGGTGGCATGATCTCAGTTCACTACAACCTCTGCCTCCCAGGTTCAAGTGATTCTCCTGCCTCAGCCTCCCAAGTAGCTGGGATTACAGGCGCACATGACACGCAAAGATAATTTTTGTATTTTAGTAGAGATAGGGTTTCACCATGTTGGCCAGAATAGTCTCAATCTCCTGACCTCGTGATCCACCCACCTCGGCCTCCCAAAGTTCTGGGATTACTGGCATGAGCCACCATGCCTGGCCAGGAATCTGCATTTTTTAACAATCACCCCCCAGGTGATTCCAGCACAGATTGTCCAAGGCCAAATGTTGGAAAATACTGAATTTCAGGGGCAGTGAGCATTGGCCTGCAAATTGAATCAGTCTCTGAGGGAGGTTGAAGGGGTCCCACAGCTCAGCAGCGTCTCTGGGTTGGTAGGGTCTGGAGACTGGGCTTGGGCTAGAAAACTCCTGGGATGCCGGGCATGGTGGCTTGTACTTGGAATCACAGATACTTGGGAGGCTGAGGCAGGAGGATTGCTTGACACCAGGAGTTCAAGACCAGCCTGGGCAACCTAACAAGACCCTGTTTCTAAAAAGATAAAAGAAAATTCCTGGGAGAAGGACAGAGGGTGGGTTGAGAAGGAGTGACCTTACCAGACAGAGTCGTATGACATGTTGGTGAGTTTCTCGCCCTTCTCATTCACATATGTATCCACTGTGACGTTCTTTTCTGTGTCGTGAGCGGAATTGAAGGCTGTCATGCTGCGTGCTGGGATGCCCAATGCTCTCAACACTGAAATGACCCAGGGTGGGGTGATTGGCAACTGTGGGGGCTGGGAGTCCCCCCCTTGGTACCTCTGTCCTCAGCCACTGGATCTCCCGCTTACTTGTAGTCAGGACCCCAGCGAATACCCAGCACTGGCCGAAGCACACAGCCTGCTTCATGTTGTAGTACTGCTGCAAGATCGGGGTGCTGCCTGTACACCGGTATGGGTAGTCCCCAGACCAGTTTCCAAGGAGCACGCCTTTGCCTTTCTCAACACTCATCTGCCACACAGGTAGAGGTGGGGTAAGTGTTCACCCCTCAGAAGAACAAGGTGCTGCCAGCCCAGCCTGGCCACCCAGCCCCCAAAGTGGACACCTCACTGTGTCTCAGAGCACCTGGAGGACATGGGCTACCCAGGAAGGGCAGAGTGCCCAGAAGAGCCAAGGAGCATGCCAGCTGTGTGAGTGACCAGGGAGGATGCTCACACTCTGTGCCTCAGTTTCCTCCCTTGTAAAATGATGATCATTACATTGTTTTTGAGAGATCTTTCTGTGTAGCCCAGGCTGGAGTGCAGTGAGGTGAGCTCGGCTCACTGCAGCCTCAACTTCCTGGGCTCAGGTGATTCTCCTGCCTCAGCCCCCCAAGTAACTGGGACTACAGGCACACACCACCACACTTGACTAATTTTTGTAGTTTTTCGTAGAGACGGGGTTTCACCATGTTGGCCAGGTTGGTCTCAAACTCCTGAGCTCAAGCAATCTACCTGTCTCGGCCTCCCAAAGTGCTGGGATTATAGGTGTGAGCCACTATGTCTGGCCCCTTTAGGTTGTTTTGAGGATGACCTGGCTGAAGCCTATGCCTGTTCTGGCATCTTCCATTTTTAAACTGTCAGTGGTCTGCACCTCTTTTAATCCCTAAGAAGCCCTGCCTGGACGATCCTTTCCACCTTATTAAAACCAGAGAGAAGGCAAAGCCACGTGAGTTCACCTTTGAAAGCACTTAATGGAATCTCTACAGAAGGTTATACAGGCAGGTGCAGAGGAGCCCTCTGAAAACATGAAAGGTGACACAGTCACAAATCTTTGATCTGGGGGTGGCCTGGCTTGGACTACACCCACCCATCCCCTCCTGGCCTGCTCACTAATATCCTTTGCAAACCCCATTATGCCTTGTGAAAAGCACAATTATACTGCCTCATGTTTCCCAGGATGTTAAAGATAGCCGTTTGTTAAATTGAAACTCTTAACGTATGCCACAATTTCTGAATCCTGTTTGGGGGTTTGTTCAGTTTTAATCTACAAGAAGTCTCAAACAATGGTGTGAGCTGGGCCTCCTGTGACCTCTCAGGTCATGTGGCTGGACAAGCCTCTTCATTCATCCAAATCGGAGAGAGAATAGAGGCCACCCCCAGACTCAAGGGCGGTCAGACAGAATGAAAACAGATGAAAGGGTCCTAGGCAAAGTAGGACACACACCTCCCATCTTAACTGTCATCCAGCCTCTGCTCTGGTCTGGCTGCTGCATCCTACTGCGAAATTGAGTGGCCCCAGCCTGTCAGTGCCTGCTAGACCCAAGCCGTCTACAGAGCAATGTGGCGGAGGGAGGAGACAGAAAAGGAAGGGGAGTGATGCTGAGCCCAAAGGACATCAGGTCTTTCAAAACTCCTGATGCACAAAGCTCTGTCACCCTGCAGAATAAAGCACGGTCCTGTGCCCAGGTATGGTAGACAGTCACGGAGATGGCCCCCAGCAATCCCCTCTCCTAGACCGAGCAACTCACTTCTGACCAACAGAATGCAGCAAAAGTGATGGCTGTCACTTCTGAAATGAGGTGACAAAGGCTGTGGCTTCCAGCCTGGCCACTCCCTCTCTTACTTGCTCACTCTGATGGAAGCTGGCTGCCATGCTGTGAGATTCCCTGACCTGAGGCTGCCCACAGCCAGGTGAGTGAGCCTGGAAGTAGATCCTCCCCCAGAGATCTTGAGCCAGAACATTCAGCTAAAGCACACCTGGATTCCTGACCCACAGACATGGGAGCTAATGGAGGTTTGTTGTTTCCGCCACTGTGTCTTGGGGTAACTTGTTACTCAGCAATGGATAATGAACGCACTCACTGCTGCGCCGACTACCCTGTCTGGTGTGGGAGTCGTCTTTAGGTGGCCCTGCCAGAAGCTCCACCTGCTAGTCAAAATCCCAGATCCAGGAGGCCCACTGAGGGCCATGAACTTCTAGGGGGAAAGGAGCAATCTTTATAGGGAATCTGGGAAGGGGAAGGGCCTCTGAAGTGGCTGGGGTTCTCAGACTCCCGAGCATGGAAGCTAATGTGCAGTAAACTAATTCTGGAAGTGACTCCTGCAACACCTTGGCATTCTGAAGCGCCTGAGGAGGTGGCTGCGAGGGCATTAGGAGGGAGCACTGGAGTGCTCTCCTGCACTCCGGTGGTTGAGTCAGGAGAGCTGGCTCAACCACCACTGTGCAGCCGCTTCTCCCTGGGCTGGTTTCCTCCCGGCTGAAACAAGCGGCAGCTTAGCCCACTGCTTCCCAAACCCCAACACTTGTAAGAATTACCTGGGAATGGGCCCACAGCGTGTTGGACCCTGGGCTGGACACCTGTGTGTTATTGAGACCTCATAGTCCCCCAATAGATGAGATAACAGAAGCCCAGAGAGGCTTAGAGTCTTGGCCAGAGTCACGGAGCTTGAAAGGAGAGAAGCAGCCAAGTACATGTGAGGGCACCTGCACCACTGAAAACTAGGGCCCCTCATGGCAGGTTCTGTCTGCTAATGACTTAGTCTGCTTTACTGTTCTCTCTCAGCATCCAGCCTGGCCACCTGCTGGCCCCTGGGCCAGAGAATGAACATAGCATCATAGGGGTAAAGGGGAAAGAGCGGGCACGGTGGACTCCATGCCTGGGCCCCAGAGGGTCAGCGTGAGAGCCACCAGTAATTTCACCAGCCCCTAAGGTGCAGGGGAACAGGAGCCCCGGCATTTATGAGGCACACCACGTGCAACAGGCTCACAGCCTCGCTGCAAGGAGGGCATTTCAAGAGCCCCTGACTTAAGACCAATCTGTCACAGCAGTTCAGCTCACAGACTCGCCTAGAGATGAACATCTGTGGGGGTCGAGTAGCCACTTGTCTGAACTCAGTGGACCCTTGGAGAGTGGTCCTCACTGGCATTGGGAGATCCCTGGGAGTTGCAAGGTCTGTGATCATTTACATAATTAATAATCATTTATATAATAATCCCCAGGTCATACTTGCCTTCTTCACTCTCATTCTCTACTAAGTGTAGAGAGGATGAAAAATTGACATGGTTTCAGACTGCACATTGCAAGCAACTTTAAGAAGCTGTCACTTATGGAGCCTGGGTATAGTATCTGCCATTATGTAAAAAGGCTATGGGAATATTCCTGCCTTTTTAAATCTATGTATCCGTGTGAGGCAAGATGTTCATATATTCCAACTAAAACAATGAACGCAGAAGCAGTTATGAAATCCTAGCTGACTGGAATTCCAGCAAGTCAGACATTAAAGAGATTTGCAAAAATGGAAAACAATGCCACTCTTCTCACTACATACTTTATGCTTTGAAAAACATCGCCTTTTTAAAATAAAAATACATTATTTATGTTAACATGTAATGGAATTATCATTCTTTTAGAATAAATAGTTCTAAAATTTTCAGTTTTAATTTCTAATACAGTAAATATTGGTCAACATAAACCATATAAACACATCTTATTTGGGGTCCTCAATAATTTTTAAAAGCATAAAAGGGTCTTGAGACCAAAATATTTGAGAACTGCTACTCTGAACACACTGACTTCCAAGTGGCCAGGTGGAATAGAGAGACCAACTATCCTGTATGCCCAAGACCGAGGGGTTTTCTGGGACACAGTATTCTCAGTGCTAAATCCAGGAAAGTCCCAAGTGAACTGGAAATTTGCTCACCATAACTGAGGCTCAGTTTGCAGGTAGGAAGTTGACCTTCCATATTACTCTCATTTTGCAGATGGGGAAACTGAGGCTCAGACATATGGAGCCACTTACAGCCACAAAAGCTCAGTTTGCAGGACCTTCGTATTAATCTCATTTTGCAGATGGGGAAACTGAGGCTCGGTTTCAGAAACTGAAGCCACTTACACCTAAGGTCAGCCCATATGTGGTAGGGCTGGGATTCAGACTCAGGTCTGACTTGAAAACCTGCTCTCAGAACAGATTTCAGTAATGTCTATTTCTTAACAGTTTTGAAAGGTTGATTGGCCATGGCACTGTGCTGTGCTTCAAAGGCTCACAGTCTAGCTGGGGGAAAACAGAAAACTGCTGAGCAATTGGCAAGTACAAGACAGCATCAAATTGGGGGCAAAATTACTCTGACTTCTGTGTTACGGAATCTTTTACATGGAGCCCAGGCTTTCCACACCTACCATAGCACACATGGCCCTGCACACCAACACGGGATCCCTCCTATCTGTGGGCTTGAGGGAGGCCTCACTCAGCAGGGAGATGCAGCAGTCCACGACATTTTTCTCAAACTATTTTGGGAAATGAAGAAAGAGGCGGTTAAGACTTTGCCCTGTGTCAGAAACTTAACACATACTGTCTAATTTGCATATCGCAGCCACCCTATAGCATAACCCACCTTCCCTGCCTACAGTATCATAAAATGTTCACCCCAGCATTAAAATTAAAAACATTTAAATGTCTGGCCACAGGGTAACAGTTAAGTAAGTTTATAGAGCGATAGCATGCAGCCGCTAAAAGGCAGTACAAGAACTGTTTTATACCGTGGGGAAAAGTCCTTTGTAATCAAGTCGAATAAATGAAACGGGCCAGGTGTGGTGGCTCATGCCTATAATCCCAGTACTTTGGGAGGAGATCACCTGAGATTGAGAGTTCAAGACCAGACTGACCAACATGGAGAAACCAGTCTCTACTAAAAATACAAAATTAGCAGGACGTGGTGGCACATGCCTGTAATCCCAACTAGTTGGGAGGCGGAGGCAAGATAATCACTTGAACCCAGGAGGCAGAGGTTGTAATGAGCTGAGATCGTGCCATTGCACTTCAGCCTGGGCAAAAAGAGCAAAACTCTATCTCAAAAATGGATTCATTAATTAAATTAAATAAAAATAAATAAATAAATGAAACAGGCTACAAAGTTGTGCGCAAATAACATTACAACTATGTGAGCCTTAGTAATAGACAAAAGAATAAAATACACTAAAATGTTAAGTCATTATCACTGAGGAAGGAGGTTATTAATAGTTTTATTTTCTTTCCACATTTCCGTATTTTCTAAGTCTTTTGTGATAAGCACGTTATTTTTGAAATCCTATTTACCGTAAGTCACTTTATCAAGATATCATTTACATCCCATAAAATCTACCATCTACACTGGACAACTCAATGTCTGTATATTCACAGAGTTGAAGTATATGTGTTACTTTTGTAACCTGAGGGAAAAACCACCAAAATAAAAGGAATAGACCATAATGTTTATGTTCCAGAAGGAGTCTGGGAGAGTTTTGTGGTTACCATTCTTTGAGGTTCTTTTTTCTTTCTTTTTTTTATTAAGAGAGGGTCTTGCTCTGTTGCCCACGCTACAGTACAGTGGTGCAATCACGGCTCGATGAAGCTTTAACCTTCTGGACTCAAATGATCTTCCATCCCCTCTCCAATTACAATCATCTCCCTACAGCTCTGCCTGGGACTACAGGCATGCACCACCATGCCCAGCTAATTTGCTCATTTTTTGTAGAGACCAGGCCTCCATGTTGCCCAGGCTGGCCTTGAGCTCCTGTCCTCAAGCCATCCTCCCACCTTCACCTCCCAAGGTGCTGAGATTACAGGTGTGAGCCACCACAGCCAGCCACTCTTTGGGGTTCTTAAAATCACCCCTTGATTTTCTAAGAGGGGCAACTCCCTAGGACTCAGGTGATTCCTTCTTCACTGCCCCTCCTGTGGTTCGTTTGGTTGTTTCCTTGCCAGATACTCCCTCCCATTCCATTTCCCTCCAGTCCTCAGGTGTAAGGATGCTGAGGGCCTTCCAGGAACAAGTGAGAGTGGGTAGGGCACGCGGGGCGCACCTTGCACAGAGCACACAGTGTGAGCCTCACCAGCTGGCAGTCCCTCCTCCCTCATCCCTACTTCAATCCTGTTCTGGGTGTCCAGACTCAGGGGGAGGAGGGGAAACTCAAGCAGCTGTGAAGTGCCTGGCATTTCCCAGGAGCTTTTTGTTGCTAAATCTGGGGTGAGGGGTAATGGGAAGTGTCTGGTGTCCCGCATCCTCACACCCCAGCTTCAGAACTTTTCTTGTTTCCACGCGGCTCTCCTGCCTCATGGCTGCAGGAAGGCACTTGCCCTCCACTTAGCAAAGGCCTCCACACAAGTCTCTGAAAAGCTCCCTCACGTTTAGAAGCTGTTTGTCAACGCCAACATTCTAATAGTAACAGGCCTTCCTTGTAACAGTGCTTGGTTCTTTGGTAAATACACTGGGAGGTAGGGAGTAGGAGATAGCCATGGGGGTGGGAGAGAGTCGTGGGGGGTGGGAGAGCGCCATGGGGGGTGGGAGAGAGTCGTGGGGGGTGGGAGAGAGTCGTGGGGGGTGGGAGAGAGTCGTGGGGGGTGGGAGAGAGCCGTTGGGGGGTGGGAGAGAGCTGTGGGGGGGTGGGAGAGAGCCATGGTGGGGTGGAAAAGCCACCCCACCATGTCTCTCTCATGGGAGGTCTCGTGGGAGGGCTTCTGCCTAGGACTCCACCCCATCTGTGCAACCTGGGCAGGTCACCCCTCTCTGGCCACGTTTCTCATGTATGGCGTTTGACCTGAGGTTCACAAACCTTTCTCCACAACCTTTACTGGCTACTACCCAACTAAAAGGTTGGTCTAGCAAATGGGGCCTGGTCCAGCCACATGACAACAAGTCATTACCTAACCAAAGTTCCAGGGTCTGTATTTGATACTTCTGGCAACCCCCATGTAATGGCCGCCCGTGTCGTCGAGGATGTACTCTTTATGCTCGTCCTCATCAGGCATGAAAACCGTGTCCTCTGAAGCAAACCACACATCCACAGAGGTTATGGCACACCCTAGGACAGCAGCACGCTTGCCACTGGGGACTGTCTGTGCTGGGGGATCTTCAAGGTCTTTGTGAGGGACTTGGAACAGCTAATGTTGCAGGAGGGAGGTGGGCGGGAGGGAAGGTATCAAAAGAACTTCCTGAGCCAGCTGTAGGGGACTTCCCCTGGGAAAATCTGGAGCAATTTAAGCATGAGTTAAGAAAAGGATGAATCATAAACCACGGAAAAGAGAGAGTTCATGAGTCCATACAGATGGTAGAGAGAGACGGGTGGGGGTGAAGGGAGGGCTCTGCCTACAGGAAATGTCAGGTGGTAGCAGGTAAACATGGTGGAGAGCTGGCCTTGGAAAATCACTGTGCAGCCATCACAGTCAAGAATGGTTGAAGCAAGAACCATCAGTGCATGCTAAATCTAGGGGTGGAGAATTTTGATGAGGATCAGGATATTTGGATGGTCTTAAAGTGTGTCCACATTGATTACTCATTACAAAAAATTATATAGTAACTATGTAGCAGAAAAACTGGACAACGCCTTGACCAAATAATCACATTCAACATTCCCAGCAAGGGGCAGGCAGACACTGTGTGCCTCCAGATATGATTTTCCCGAGAAGGGCATGTCATTTACATGATATCCAGCGAGGACTGTGTAACCTGAATCTAAAGATGACAAATCATCAGACCCAAAATGACAAATGATCTGTTAAAAGGGGGACTTCTATTCCTCAAAAATATGTCAAAAAAGACAAAGGCTGAGAAATTGTTCTAGATTAAAGGAGGTAAATAAATATAACTATATGCAAAATATGATTCTAGACTGGATCCTGTTTTGGAGGGAAAAAATGTTATAAAGAACATCATAAAATCAACTGACCGGCTGGGCGTGGTGGCTCACACCTGTAATCCCAGAACTATGGAAGGGCAAGGCAGGTGGATCACCTGAGGTCAGGAGTTCAAGACCAGTCTGGCCAACATGGTGAAACCTCATCTCTACTAAAAATACAAAAGTTAGCTGGGCGTGGTGGCATAATCCCCGCTACTCGGGAGGCTGAGGCAGGAGAATCACCTGAACCCAGGAGGCGAGGTTTCAGCAAGCTGAGATGGCGCGATTGCACTCCAGCCTGGGCAACAACAGTGAAACTCCAACTCAAAAATAAATAAATAAATGATCAAGTGTCCGAACTGGAATATAGATAGTAGACGAAAGTGTTATGCTAACAATTTACTGAAGTTGATAACTGTCCTGTGGTTATATGAGAGAATATCCCTGTTATTAGGGAATATACTTTAAAGGGTTTAGGGGTAAAGAAGCAACTTATATGTAACTTATTATCAAATGGTTCAAAAATAAAAGCGCGCATGCGCGTGTGTGTAGAGGAGGGAGGGAGGGAAAATGATTAAGTAAATGGGGCAAAATGTTAACAATAGGTGAGCCTGGATAAAGGGTATAGGTTGTTCTTTATATCATTTTTGCAACTTTTCTGTGAGCTCAAAATCATTTCCAAATACAAAGTTTAAAAAAAAAGCTCCTTGGCTTCTAGCATGGGCACCTGATGGCTTTTGACTTCAAGAAGGCCACAGGAGGAGGGGCAGGTGTGGAAAAGGGTTGACACAGAATGTGCTACATTTGAGGCTGCAACAAGATGTCCAGTACCCTCTGGAGAGAAGCCAGTGCTGGCGATGGCAGAAGTAGCCTCAAATGCCATTTGTATAGAGGTTCCAGTGTAGCCAAAGGAAGAAGTGAGCTGGTACATGAGGAAGTGGAGAGAAGAGAACAGAACTAAGGGAACAGAAGGGAGAAACCAACCGCAATTCAGGCTCTGCCCCAGAGTTGGCAAGGAAGAAGTCCTTGCTTGTCCCTCCCCCTCCCCCACCAAGGCAGCCTCTGTACAGTGGTGGAGGCAGAAGTGTGCTGGGGTAGGGCAAGGCATTAGGGAGAAGTGGAAATGGGGAATAAAGACCTCCATTCTAAGGAGCCTGGTCACAAAGAAAATGCTCCAATGGTGTTCGTGATCTGTTCCTGGGTCACATCCCTTAAACTAGTTTGCAAATACCTTGAGAGCAAACAAAAGCTCATAGGCTATGCATTGCACACAACAGGTTTTGCCAGGGGCACCTGCCACTCCCCAGCAGACCTGAGATTCGTAGTACCTTTACACCATGGGCTGAAGAGAAGGTATAGGATGTTTTCTTCAGACTTAAGGATGTGGCTTCCAGTTTTCACATGTAGTTGGTAATGCCCCACAATGGCATTTGGGGTACTGGTGACAGCCACTGTGACCTGAGCAAACCACAAGATAAGGTGGACACCACACCCTCTGGCCAGATTCCAAATCCTACAAATGCTTCCCAGAAAAATCCATCAGTCCTAACAAATCATCCCATCTGGAACCAGCCGAGACAAGGAATGGTCAGGACCCTGAACAGCCAGGAGTGCTCTTGCAAGGGAAGGATGCATGCGACAGAAAAGCAGCCGCACACAGCACGAGGCTTTGGCAAGTCATTCAAGAGCCCTAGACACACTGGACTCAAGAAGCTGGTGGACATTTTCACCTCCCCAAACTTCACTCCCTTCACCACAGCCTGAAGGTGATACCATCTCCAGGTTGCTGGGAAAATGCTGTAGATAAAACACACATGAGGTACTGACATAGTTGGTTCTGTGTCCCCACCCAAATCTCACCTCAAATTATAATCCCAATAATCCCCACATGTTGAGGGAGGGACTCAGTGGGAGGTGACTAGATCATGAGGGTAGTTTTCCCCATGCTGTTCTCGTGATAGTGAGTGAGTTCTCACCGGAGCTGATGCTTTTATAAGACAGTTTTCCCTGCTCTTGTTCTCTCTCTCACCTGCTACCATGTAAAATGTGCCTGCTTCCCCTTCTGCCATGATTGTAAGTTTCCTGAGGTATCCCCAGCCATGTGGAACTGTGAGTCAATTCAACTCCTTTTCTTTATAAATTAACAGTCTCAGGTATTTCTTTAGAGCAGTGCAAAAATGGACTAAGACAGGTGTCTAGCTCAGAGCCTGGAACTTCAGGGCAAGGGTGAAATGTCAGCTGTCTTTGGAGCAAACAACACCTTTCTCTTGGAATACAAGCAGCCAGAGTCCCAGAAGGCCACTGGTCTAAGGGTGTCCAGGCCTTTATCCAGCCTTTTAGAATAAATAATAACTAGAGAGATAATTAGGATAAATCAATATTGCTGTAGCCACAATGGTACCAACAATAATTCTCATCATTGCCACAAAACATTTTCATTGTGGTCCAAGATCCTCCCATGAGGTGCTTATTATTATAAGATAACTCACAGGAGGAATAGGCTCTCAGTTCAAATCCCAATTCCACCCTCCCTCCCTTTTTTTGAGACAGAGTCTTTCTCTGTCACCCAGGCTGGAGTGCAACGGCACAAACACAGCTCACTGCAGCATTGAACTCCCAGGGTCAAGCAATTCTCCTGCCTCAGCCTCCTAACTAGCTGGAACTACAAGTGCTCACCACCACATCTGGATAATTATTTCTTTTTTTTTTTTAAGTAGAGATGGGGTATCTCTGTGTTGCCCAGGCTAGCCAGCTCTACCTCTTACTGGCCGTATTACCTTGGCTGGTTACTTAACCTCTCCTGTGCCTCAGTTTTCTCCTTTAAGAATTTGGAATAATAGATCCCCTTCTTTGTGGGAACACTGTGAAAACTAAACAAGCTAACATAGATAAATGTTCCGCTGTCATCATTTTGCTGGTGGGGAAACAGGTTCACAGAGGTGGCCCAAGAGGTAGAGCTGGGATCAACCTCACTGTGCTAAAACTCCAGAATCCACAAGGCTAACTCCCGATACCCTTCTTGTGGCAGGGAGGAGGTCGTGCCCTCAGTGTTCATTACAATGGAGCCCTGGAGAACCGGCCTTCCAGGATGCAGGAAATGTCCTCCACCATCTGGGTGCTGGTCCCACGGCTCTATTCATATGTAAAAATTCATTGCACAAACCGTTAAGATTTGTGTCCTTTACATGTGTTATATGTCAATTTAAAAAACTTTTAAAATACACTTTTTGAGTAAAGAAATATGCAGCTCCTGCCCACACCCCATGCCCACCTCGGGAGAGATTTTCTTGATACTCTAAAAACCACTCAAATGCAAAATTGTGGTTGGGAGTCTGAGATCTGGATGGGAGGGAGAGGAAGGAAGAGCCCGGGGCACTAGTGGGGATTCCAGCAGCAGCTGGCCCATTCGTCTCATTTCCACCAGCAGATTCTGCTTCTACAAAAACCCAGTGTAACTGCCATTTTAAAATCATGGCATTAGCCTAGCATTAAACTTCTAGGGATTTAGCCTAAGGAAATATCCACAAGCTAGTCTGAAGATCTGGTTGAGAGATGAAGACTGGAGACAACTGAACACCCAGCGCTCCCCGTAAGGGTGGAAATCCAGCCACCGTAAGCCCAGACGCGCAGGCAGGAGCCACTGTGGAAAGCGTTCATTAGGCCTCCTCAAGTGAGTGAAGCTGGAGGTGGACTACCCCCACTTTGTATTTGACCATGACATACAAAAGCCTGGCAGGAAGATGGGTAACTTAATTGGTGGAACCACAGGTTATTTTTATGTATTTCTCTCTGCTCATGTCCTCCAGTGAACATTGTTCCCTTTGAAATGAAAAGGAGAAGGGTGACAGGTAGGGGTTCGGCCACCATCAGAGGTACTGTGTGCTCGGAGGAGGTGGAAGAGGGAAACAGACATTAGGAGACATGACCCCTCTGTCATGTTCTGCCGTGGGTGGCTTTAAACCACATTTCCGACTGACAGATGACAAAGCAGATAGGGGCTGCTCCCATTAGGGGGAATCCGCCAGCCCGGTGGGTGCTCACCTCTTTGCCAGACTCATCGTGAAGGGATGCCTGCCAGTTGTAGTGGTCTGAGGGCTTCCTCAGATCGAGCTCCACCAGGGTGTGTCTGGCGATACTAGGATTCAGCCCTGGAGACACACAAAGGGAACAGAGTCTTGACATTGGCCCAGCCATGGGCCACACCCGAGACAATCTCCCCTGCTTCGGGGGCACCTACTGCCCACTCACGAGGCCCCCATCCCTCCTGTCCAGGCTTGTTTGTCCCCTGGCTCCCTGGGTCCAGCTTCGCTAATTCTGCAGATGCCTTCCTGTGCCCCACATGACCAGTTTTAGTTTTCTACTCAATTTAGATGAGCTCCCTGCCTCCTCCTCTCTGCGTCTTCCCTTTCTTTTTTCCCATCAGATCCAGCCCTCCCTAGAGCTCCTGCCTCTGTCATGTGCTCACCAGAGTTACTGTTGGTTTAACCCCCATCCGCTAGTGCCACAGCCCGCAAGCTGGTCCACTCCACGTAATGCAGGGGAACAGCTTAACCTTTGCTCCTCTCATCTGGAGGAGGCAGATGCCACTGCCTACCCTGTATGCTGTCACAGGATCTTCTTTGAAAGGTCAGCCAGGTTATGTTATGAGCTCCAGGGACTACTGGAATCAAAGCCAAGCTTTTTCCATAGCGTGCAGGTGGCCCTCAGTGAGGCTTCTCTCCAACTCCCCCTTTTCCTCCCTGTCATAATTGAGTTTCTGGTCCCCAGAGAGTTAGCTCATGACAAACAGCACGTGGCCACAAGTGTTGTTTCCTCAGGGCCCTGGCACTTGCCATGCTTGTGGCTGGGAATACCCTGCTCTCAGCTCTTCACACGGTGGCTCCTGCGTGTTACATGGGTCTCAGCAGGGTCATTTCCCACAGCAGTCCTTCCAACCCTGACAGCGTCAGCCCCGCCTGACCTGCTGCTTTCTCTCTTGCTGGAGGAGACTCTTGTTTTTGTTTCTTCATCATATTTGGCCCTGTCTGAAATTATCTTTTGTTCCTTTGTTGCTTTCTCTGCTAGTACAGTCAGGTCTAGGAGGCAGGGACCACTTTACCTCTGGGTTCCCTGGCACAAAGTAGGTACTCAACAAACACTTGCTGAGTGAGCGAGTCTCACTGCATCACACATGGAGAGTGCTCAGTGCAACACCTGACGTGTGGCAGGTGCTCAGGAAATTCTGGGTGAGGGAATGCACATGGACTCGGGGCCAGTATAAAGTCACCGGTCAGTGACAGCAAGGTCCCAGTCCATGGTTGAGCGGGCAAATCATGGCACGGCACACAGTAGGTGCTTATTTCATACTGGATGAAGGGAACGGAGGCTGTTCTGACTGATCTCCACCAGCATGGTGGAGGAGACCCTACGCCTGTCATTCACTCAGAGTAGGAGCAAAAAGGAGCTCTCTCCCAGAAAGTGCTATTGGATGCCCTCTTGTAAAGTAGATCTACTTGATCTAATTTTTTTTTGAGACAGAGTTTCACTCTTGTCACCAGAATGAAGTGCAATGGCGCTATCTCACCTCACTGTAACCTCTGCCTCCCAGGTTCAAGCGATTCTCCTACCTCAGTCTCCTGAGTAGCTGGGATTACGGGCACCCATCACAGTGCCCTACTAATTTTTGTATTTTTGCTGGAGATATGGTTTCACCATGTTGGCCAGTCTGGTCTTGAACTCCTGACCTCAGGTGATCTGCCTGCCTCGGCCTCCCAATGTGCTGGGATTATAGGCATGAGCCACCATGCCTGGCTTACTTGAACTATTTTAAAAACAACATTCAAGAAGACCCTCCTCCATTATCCTACCACAAGAGCTAACACATTTTCTCTCCGTTCCCCTAGTTGTATTTATGCACACATATTTACCTAACTATAACAAATGTGTGAGCCTTTTCCTATTATCTTTGCAACCAAAATGTGATATTTTAATCATTATTACTGCTTGCCTCCAGCCCACCCAGCTGTGGTGTCAGCACACCTCAGTCCTATGGTTCATCTCTACACAATGTTCCAGACTCCACCGAAGCAGATGCCTGCTGAGTCGCCTCCTCCCTCTGCTCTGGCCCCTCCCCTGCTTAGCCAAGGAATCGGAGCCTCACTGTATGCCAAGTCCTGACTGAGCTTCCCATCATACCTCCTAATATTCCCACTTTACAGATGGAGAAACTGGGGATCAGGGAGGGGAAGGCACTCCTGGCTCAGACTGGCCAGAAAGGGCCACTCCAGCATCCAGGGACCTCTGTGGTCCCTCCCCCAAGCCCACAAGTAGGGCCCCAAGGCTTCACCTGTGCTGAATTGCAGTTTCAGTTCGTGGTAGAATTGTAAGGGATGGTTCAGTGCCAGCCGCAGGTGAAACACCTGCCCTCGCCGGAACACAGGACTGCTCATTTGGAACTCCCTCGTGTGGTGAGAAACGGCATTATCCTGCTTCAAGAAGTCAACATGGAGAACCTGCAGCTCTGTCAGCAACACAACACGTGGGGAAAGAGCACAGAGAATGTTTATTCCCTGATCACCTTCTTCTCCTGCCTTTAAAATCTGACAGTGTGTGGAGGCGGAGCCAGGCTTTCAAGTCGGGCATCCCTGCTCCACCTCTGGCTGGCTATGAATCTGTCTGAGACTCAGTTTCCTCACCTGTAAGATGGGTGTGCACGTACCTACCTTGTGGGGTTACATGGGGGATGAGCTGAGAGCAGTGCACTCAAGTGCTCAGTCATGTAACCCCGAAAGGTAGGAAGGTACACGCCCATCTTACAGGTAAGGAAACTGAGTCTCAGACAGAGTGAGTCTGTGAGTGGCTGTTAGGCAAGGCCCCCTCCCCAACTACCCCTCTCTGCAGACATGGCCTCAGGACAAAGCTGGAGCCAGGGTGCTCTCTGTCAATCAACACAGAAGCTGGAGGAAAAGAGGGGATTGGGCAAACTGAGGAGGGAACAGATGACCCCTGGGGTTGCTCCCCTTCCTGTTCAGCCCAGACTCCCATCCGCTTTCAATCAGACACCATCCCAAGGCGAGAGTTCACATCCTGAAGGAAGGGTGGGGTGCAAAGTAGCTGGGGTGAAGCCTTTTGATCCAAATAGAGGAAGAAGGACCAAGGAGTTCCCATGATCCAAGGCCAAGACCACTTGCATTATAAATGGGACTTTTAAGGCCGGACGCAGTGGCTCACTCACTCCTGTACTCCAGCACTTTGGGAGGCTGATGGGGGCGGATCACCTGAGGTCAGGAGCCAAGATTGAGCCAATGCACTCCAGACTGGGTGACAGAGTGAGACTCCGTTCCCCCACCCCGGAAAGAAAAGGGGGGATGTTTTTCTTCAATGCTAAAGTGAAAAGTACATCTGGTAAAAGAAACGCTATCCACATGCATAATACATGTAAGAAATACCCCATGTATTTCTTACCATGTGTCTGTTATAATGACATTTCTTTGTGTTACCTCAGCTTGGAACCCAAACCCCTCCCCTTTATCTAAAATTCAAACTATTCCCAGGCTCATGAGTCATGAAGGGAAATGTGTTTTGACTGCATGTTGAAACCACCTGGGGGGTATAAAACTGTATATGTTGGGAGGGAAGTATGCGCGCTCCACACAGAGCGCAAGTAAACGGAATCCCGGTGGGGGGTCTCTTCAGCCCTGGGGGGTTGCAGAAGTAGGTAAATACAGCAACTTCGCGGCGTGGCACACTATCTTTGGAAAAACGTGAGTTCAAGCCCTGAGTCCTTGCTGCCCCACAGGGTGGCCTTGGGCTTGTGCCCTGGCACCACCCCTGTCCCCAGTCCCTGTTTTCTCTCTGGAAATGGGTGGAAGACCAAAGAAAATGATGTGCCCCTCTTGGTCACCCCGAGCCGCCTGCCCTGGAACACTGGCCACAGTTGAGGAGGTGACTGAGACCTAGAAATCCAAGTGTTGGAGGTCCTGAGGCCAGCCAGAATTGCTTCAAAATGGAACGAAGGCATTTTCGGACTTACATTCAGAGCCGATTCATCAGCATGAGCATGTGGACGAGCCCACGGAGACTCGTGGACCTGGCGGGGCAGAGCCTGCTGAAGAATGAGGCCCTGGCCATCGCTGCCCTGGAGTTGCTCCCCAGGGAGCTCTTCCCGCCGCTCTTCACGGCAGCCTTTGACGGGAGACACAACCAGACCCTGAAGGCCATGGTGCAGGCCTAGCCCTTCACCTGCCTCCCTCTGGGAGTGCTGATGAAGGGACAGCAGCTTCACGTGGAGACCTTCAAAGCTGTGCTTGATGGAGTTGATGTGCTGCTTGCCCAGGAGGTTCGCCCCAGGAGGTGGACACTCAAAGTGCTGGATTTACGAAAGAATTCTCATCAAGACTTCTGGACCGTGTGGTCTGGAAAAAGGGTCAGTCTGTGCTCATTTCCAGAGCCAGAAGCAGCTCAGCCCATGAGAAAGAAGCGAAAAGTAGATGGTTCGAGCACAGAGGCAGGGCAGCGCTTTATTCCAATAGAGGCTCTCGTAGACCTGTCCCTCAAGGAAGGTGCCTATGATGAATTGTTCATCCACCTGATTGAGATAGTGAGGAGAAAGAAAGACGTACTACACCTGTGCTGTAAGAAGCTGAAGATTTTTGCAATGTCTGTGCAGAATATCAAGATGATCCTGAAAATGGTGCAGCTGGACTCTATTGAAGATTTGGAAGTGACTTGCACCTGGAAACTACCCACCTCGGCGAAATTTTCTCCTCACCTGAGCCAGATGAGTAATCTGCGTAGACTGCTCCTCGCCCACAACCATCCGTCTTCCTTCATTTCCCCGGAGAAGGAGGAGCAGTTTATCGCCCAGTTCATCTCTCAGTTCCTCAATCTCCACTGCCTTGAGGAGCTCTATGTGGACTCTTTATTTTTCCTCAGAGGCCACCTGGATCAGTTGCTCAGATGCATGATGAACCCGTTGGAAACCCTCTCGATAACTAACTGCTGGCTTTCAGAAGAAGATGTGACACATCTGTCCCAGAGCCCCAACATCAGTCAGCTGAGTGTCCTGAGTCTAAGTGGGGTCATGCTGACCGAGATAAATCCCGAGCTCCTCCAAGCTCTGCTAGAGAGAACCTCCGCCACCCTCCAGGACCTGGACTTAGATGAGTGTGGAATCGTGGATACTCAGCTCCTTGTTCTTCTGCCTTCCCTGAGCCACTGCTCCCAGCTTACCACCTTCAGCTTCTGCGGGAATCCCATCTCCATGTCTGTCCTGGAGAGCCTCGTGCACCACATCATCGGGTTGAATAATCTGAGCCACGTGCTGTATCCTGTCCCCGTGGAGAGCTTTGAGGACATCAATGGCACCCTCGACCTGGGGAGACTTGCCTATCTGCACACCAGGCTTAGGGAGTTGCTATGCGAATTGGGACGGCCTGGCATGGTCTGGCTCAGTGCCACCCCCTGTCCTCACTGTGGGGACAGAACCTTCTATGACCCAGATCCTATCCTGTGCCCCTGTTTCATGCCTGCCTAGCTGGGTGCACATGTCAAATGCTTCATTCTGCATACTTGGACACTGAAGCCCAGGATTCAAGTGCATCTTGAAGCAACACAACAGCCACAGTTTGAGACCAATGTTCAGTGTGAGCGAGGGAAAAAAGGGGAAGTTGGGGGTGGACAGATGTTGACTTGAAGAGTTGATGGAATCTTTGGGGAGATGCATCCTATAGAGTTAGAAATAGAATCTGAATTTCTAAAGGGGGATTCTGGCTTGGAAAGTACATGTGGGAGGTAATCCCTGTGTGGACTGTTGTAAAAAAAAATTTTGGAAATAAAAAGAAGCAGTATGAAGAAAAAAAAAAAAAAAAAAAAAAAAAAAACTGTATATGTTTTCCCCCAGCAAATCTAATACAGTTGATCTGAATGGGGTGGAGCCTCTGTGTTTTCATCGCTTTCCAGGCAATTCCAGGGGGCAGAGGGTGTGGTAAAACACAGACTGCCGGCCCACCGAGTTTCTGATTCAGCACATCTGGGGTGTGGCTGAGAATTCGCCTCTCCAGCAGCTTCCTTGATGACGCTGACACTGCTGGCCCAGGGAGCACACATTGAGAACCCCTAGATTAGGAAGCCCCACTGTGGCCTGTGAGGTAAACTGAAGTGAGATGCAGGGATCTTCCCCTGCTCCCGAGGGCTCACCTACAGAGGAAACTCATCCTCGGCAGAGATCATGGAGGCCAGCCCTGGACACGTGGGCTTTTGTAACTACAAAATGGGTGGAGTGGTCACGCCCATATCAGAGGGCTACCTTGGGGATGTGGCCGGTGATGTGTTTGGAGACAGCACAGCTCATTCTTGCTGGAGTGGCTTTGGGATTGGGGTCTGGACAAGTGTTCTCCAGGAAGGCAAGCCCCAGCAAGTGGCCTTCCTTCTGCACTGCTGCACAGGGCCTGGGAACCTGCTCCCTCCAGCAGAGAGGCCACCTGGCAGACAACCTACCTTCCCAGGTGTCTCCTCTTCTTGGGCTAAAATCTTGGGGTGGGCCCATGGCTAGCTGGAGCATCTTAGCCCATTTGTGCTGCTGTGATGGAACACTGGAGACTGGACCATTTAGAAAGAATAGAAATTTACTTCTGACAGTTCTTGCAAACAACCATTCCAGATGAAAGGTCTGGATTAGCATACGAGATTACTGAAAAAAAGTAAAGTTATGATTGCTGAATGAGACACACAGAAAAAACACATGTCACAACTAATTGTTAAAGGAATTGAACACATCCTGTGTGACCACTGGAGAGGACTCTTGGAAGCACCTGCTAGTTCCCACAGGACCTCACCCCATGTGCCTCTTCCCTTTGCTGATTTTTCTTTGTACCTTTTGCCACAATAAATCACGTACCCCCCACAGTGTCCATATTGCTGCCTGAGGCTACCGCCACCTGCCAGCAGGCACTGCTGGACAGTGTCCTTCCTTGACTGCATGTGGGAGCGCAGCCTCAGCAGAATGCATACCAGTTATGAAAAATTTGAAACATCACCTCTTTCTGTAGAGGTCTGGGATTCCTCCAAACTAAGAAAATAAAATAAACAGTTGTCCTTGGCTCATAGGCATAAATTGACTCCTAGTCACAGTTGTCACTGGTTTAGGGGATAAATGCCAATCCTCTTTGGAGGGATTTATTCCCCACCAAAGTTTTATGGAATTCCCACAGATAAAGTCACACTCAAGATGAGCTTATAGCCCTAAATTTTAAAACAAAAAATCCACTATTTTAGCAGAAACCACACAAGTATTCTTCCAAGAAATCAGATAATATACAGACTATAAAATAATGTATAGAGACTATGGACCAGGTGCAGTGGCTCATGCCTATAATCCCAGCACTTCGGGAGGCTGAGGCAGGAGGATCCCTTGAGCCCAGGAGTTCAAGACCAGTCTGGACAACATAGGGAAACCCTGTCTTTACAAAAAAATTTTTTAGTTAGCTGAGAATGGTGGTGTGCACACGCAGTCCCAGCTACTTAGGAGGCTGAGGCAAGAGTTTCACTTGGGCCTGGGAGGTCAAGGCTGCAGTGAGCCATGTTCACACCACTACACTACAGCCTGGGTGACAGAGTGAGACCTTACTTCAAAAAATAATAAATAAAATATTTAGGCAGGGCGTGGTGGCTCACGCCTGTAATCCCAGCACTTTGGGAGGCCAAGGTGGGCAGATCACGAGGTCAAGAGATTGAGACCATCCTGACCAACAAGGTGAAACCCCATCTCTATTAAAAACACAAAAAAATTAGCCAGGCGTGGTGGCATGCGACTGTGGTCCTAGCTACTTGGGAGGCTGAGGTAGAAGAATCACTTGAACCCAGAAGGCCAAGGTTGCACCACTTCATTGCAGCCTGGTGACAGAGCAAGGCTCTGTCTCAAAAATAAAATAAAATATTTTAAAAAATATATACAGACCATAAAATAGCCAAGTCAAAAAATGGCTAGGAACATAAGAGAAGGAATCAAAACTATGAGAAAGGAATAAGCCACTATTAAGAATGAC